AGGTGGCCCTTCGGGGGTATTTATAGGCCTTCGTGAGGTATCCACGTGGCTTGCTTAGCAGGATGATCGGAGTGTGATGTGTCCCTTAAAGAGATAAATTCGGGACCGGGGTATTGTGTGATAAATCAGGTATGGGCATGCCCACTGTATTTAATGTGCAGCTGTTTGACTAGAAGTGTTGGATTTAACTTCACTTCGGCTATTAATGAATTATAGCAGTACGTCCGAGGTGAGCACCTCGGACCTATCCTTACACTACTCCCCCCCCCGAAGTCATTCACTTGTGAATGATAGGTTAAGGGAAGTGTATGTGTAGTTAAAAATGTATGATAGCAACTGATGTGAGAAGTATGTCATGGAGCCATATAGTGCCATTAAAATATGTGACACTGGGTCACTATGGTCGGAACCAATGTGAATTGAGTGACAACGGGTCATTGTGGTCGGAGCTGAGGTAAAAAGATGTGACACTGGGTCACTGTGGCCGGAGCCGAAGTAATATAGGTGACGTGTGGTTACTATGGCCGGAGCCGAAGTAAAATAGGTGACTCGGGGTCACTATGGCCGGAGCTGAAGTGAAATATGTAATTCGGGACCACTATGGTCGAAGTTAAAGTAAAATATGTGACTCGGGGTCACTATGGCCGGAGTCAAAGTAGAACTGGTGACTCGTGGTCACTATGGCCGTAGCCGAGGTAAAATAGGTGACTCGGTGTCACTATGGCTAGAGCGAGGTAAGTAATGATGACTAGAGTCATAGCGGCCGGAGCCGAAATAATAAGTAATGACCAGAGTCATGTGGCTGGAGCCAAGGTAATAAGTAATGACCGGAGTCATGTGGCCGAAGCCGAGGTAATAAGCAATGACCGGAGTCATAAGGGCCGGAGCCGAAATAAAAGTAATGATCGAAGTTATGTGGCCGGAGCTAAAACAAAATGTGTGACTCGAGGTCACTATGGCCGTAGCCGAAGTAAAGATGCATGACCCATAGTCATGTGTTATGATTGTAGCTGAGAATGATGACCTGAAAATGACGACTCGAAAGTGACGATTTGCAACCTCATGAGCCATAATAATGGAAGTTAGACTTCTAAGAGTCATGTTCTATAGAGCTAGGATCAGAACCAGTTTTTGTAGAGTTGATTGAATGCCAATTTTGGTAGCTGGAGATGCCTACCACAAAATCCCACCTTGAGATGCCCATAAGAAAATCTTGGTCTCTCAAGTCATAGCATAAAATCAAACCCCTTTGAGGGTTGTGCTTTGCAGAGTTAAGATTGAACTGAGCTTTCATAGAACAAATGAGCTGAGAAGTTGATAGTTGATGGACGCAAGCTCTTGTAGATCGAATGAGCTAAAAAAGCCAATAGCTAATGGGCTCAAAGGCCAATAGTATTTTTTGATGAGCTGATAAGTTTAAAAGCTGATAACATATTTCTGAGTCTTCCAAGCCAAGGAGTTAACAAACTCATGAGACTTGTAAGAATTCATTCTAAATATAGAACTTGACAAGATACCATTAGTTCATCAATAATCAATAATATATGAGATATGCATCAACATTAAAGTGGCACAATAATTTAGAATTAAATATAAATGTCTGTGGCATGAGTCATCAAAATAAATAATAATAAGATATGAATATTTAAAATATACTCAAGTTGAGTTATTCAAGCAGCAAATTAAACACATGCCAAGTAAAGTATAGAAGTTTATTTTTGTTGCTTATGTTTATGTATTCCCACTCCCCCTCTCAAAGAGAGATTTATCTCTCTAAGTTAGAACTAATAACAAAGACCACTAGCTCGTGGATACCATTAGCTTGTAAATTATTCCATCATTTGTAGGAGGCTCCACAAATGTATAAATAAATGTCATTTAAGCCACTCACTTTTAGTTAAAACATGAAGAATATATTATATTCAATATATTCAATAAATAGGGGCTTAGCATATCTTATTAATTAATGGCCCATGAGAGGTGGAACATGATGGCTAGTGAAGGCAAGCTGGCTGCAAGCTTGCTAACTTGAAAAGTTGGCGAAGTAAACCAACTACCTACAAGCCGAGATCTCTAGGGTAGATTCAAAATGATTAACGCGGCTTTAGGAAGCTAAGTGCCAGTGTTTTAGATTTCTTTTTAGTTTATTGTATGCTTGTTCTAATAAACTACAGTCCATAAGGCCTCCACGCTATATAAAAGTTCATAATATATATATATTCTTCATTGGGTGTTTTAGAAATTTTGTTAGGTGACATCCTTGAATGTCTCACCTAACTTCATGGATCATCTTGACTATTATATTGAAATATTTCAAGGTTTTCCTTATTTTAACTAATCAACTAGACCTGAGCTCGGTTGTCATAAGGATGAGCTCAAGTAGTTGAGTTCATCTGAGGTTGTTTACCTCATCCAAGGGTAGTTCACCTTGGAATGGGCTATCATGAGGATGAGCTCAAGTAGTTGAGTTCATCCGAGAGTGTTTACCTCATCCAAGGTAGTTCACCTTGGAATGGGCTATCATGAGGATGAGCTCAAGTAGTTGAGTTCATCCGAGAGTGTTTACCTCATCCAAGGTAGTTCACCTTGAAATGGGCCATCATGAAGATGAACTCAACCAAGTTTTATGAACTTAAACAAGTTCCTAATTCAGCACATGAAGTTCCTATTGTTAAAGTCCAAGGCTAACCATATTATATGATAATGATACAAATATATACATATATATATATTTTTAGCTTAGTATCACAGTTAATAACTGTAACTTGAATAAATTATGAAGTTGTACTTTTTAATCATAGGTTCCTTATATGACTCTTCTCCCCCCTCAACCCGCACATTTGGGGTCGGTATAAATAAACGTTGTAATCATAAATTATATTATTTGCATTTTTTATGCTTTAACATGTCCAATAAACAAGCAGTCATGCATGTTGTAATAAAAAGTCTTTCTAGCTTGTAAATATAACAAAAATTGGACATGCGAAATAACTCATAAAAATCTTAAATGTGCAAAATAATTTTGAAATTTCTAATATGTAAGACTTACTTGACTTGCA